AAAAAAAAAAAAAAAAAAAAGTCATCAAATAGATGTTTTTAGGAGAAAACAAAAGGTAAAGAAAATATGGTTATATGTTACCTCTGTTGTAAGACCAGAGAGATAAATGAAACTATTTATTTGTATTTACATAAAGAAACTCTAGAAGAATACACAAGAAAGCAATAAAAGTGGTCACCAGTGGGTGGGTTTTGGGGACAGGTAGATGGAAACTAGGTGGAAATGCAACTTTATCTGTGTATCTTAATATATTCTGCTTTTGCAACAATATATTTCCCATTTTAAAGTGTTTCCAATAAAATAAAACCATCAGATGGGAACTATTGGAATGGGGGGTGCCTATCATGTGCCAGACTCTGACCTAGGCACGTTCATCTCAGCTTCCCGCAGGTGGAACCTGGGGCTCCTGTTAATCAGCTTCCTCCTCCCCTTTCCTCTTCCTCAAGGGCATTTTTACAGGAGCTGTTCTCTCTGCCTTGAGGCCTGCAGCTCTCTGTTCACTAGTCTCATCTGAGCCCTTCCCATTGGGCTCCCCTGAACTACGGCTGAGGTCCACAGCCACCTGGTTCTCTCCTAGGTGGAATTTCAAAGAAAGCCCCACATACCAAAATAACCTGGCGATTCACCTGAGGTTTACAGCACAACCCTCCGGGAGGGCCTGGAAGGGTCACTGCAGAAGGGACCACAGAGGGAAGGATGGGTTGGGTTCAGAAGAAAAGATCTGGAGGCCCCTACTCCTGGCCAAGGAAGCTGCTGTCCACACAGTCAACCTTTTCTGTGTGTTGATGGGGGTCAGCAGCCAGGAACAATATTAGCAACAAAATATCTGCCAACCAGTTCAAGGGTGGGGGTGTGTGTGAACTATGGGGGTGAAGGATGAGAGGAGGTCATGGGAAACGAAGCTCCCCCAGACCACCCAAGGACAGCTACCTCTCTGTTCTGAGCTGTGTGCTTCCTCTGCAGGTCCTTCATTTTTTTCTTCCATTCTGCTTCCTGGAAAAGATGAGTGGTTTATCAAATGGGCCTCCTCTAGGTATTAAAATACAGAATAAAGCCATAAGAATGTAAAAGTACTGGCTCATGATTAAGCAGACAGAACAGTGAAATGAATAGAAAGGCCACACAAAGGTGGAGTGAGGCAGGGTGAATGAAATCTTAAGTCTGGGGGAAGATGGATTATTGACAAATGGTGTTCAAACACATAGCTAATAACTGTCTGGGCAAAAAAAAATATGAACTTGGATCTTCATTTCATCTCTTAAACCAAAATAAACTCTAGGTGGGTCAAAGATTTAAACTTAAAAAACAGAAGTGACATCAGCAAGATGGTGGATTAGGAGGTTCTCCACAGAGGAGAATACCCTATGGGAGCCCTGGCATCCGGCTGAGAGTTCCCAGCATCTCGGTGGAGCACATCTGGGAAGAGGCGTGTTGAAGCGGGAAGAACAGTTTCGCTTTGCCTGCATCCCCCGCCCCGTGGTGGCACAGCTCAGTGCCAAGAGAGACACTCTCAGCCCACAATTTCTCTCACGGGGTGGGGTGAGAAGGTTAGTGGGAGTGAGTGAGCACCCAACTGCTCCAACCTTGAGGGACACTGCCCAGGAGGCCCATTTCCGTCTCACCCCACCCAGAACTGAGGGAAGCTGCACAGCTGAAACCGTCTGAGACACTGGCACAAGGATCTCAACACCCAGATGCAGGTCTACCAGCTGGCTGGGGGACACCAGACAGTGTGAGAGACAGAGAGGCACAAGTGCAGAGTATCTGTGTGTATTCGGAGTTACGCTGGTGTTTGCTTAAACCAGACTGCTGCAATTGTAAGATGCCTTGTGTAAGTCTAATACTAGCCACAAAGAAGAAAACCTATAGTAGGCATGCAAAAGGTAAAAGAATCAAAGCATACACACAAAAAGCATCAAATCACACAGGAAGACAGCAGGAGAAGTAGGAACAAATTAGCTACAAAACAGTCTGAAAAGAACACAATGGCAATAGTAACTTCTTACTTTTCAACAAATACTTTAAATTTAAATGGATTAAATTCTCCAGTCAAAAGATGAAGAATGGCTGAATGGATAAAAGCAAAAACAGAAACCAATTTGGTTTTTCATATGCTGTCTACAAGAGACTCACTTTAACTTTAAGGACATGTGTTGGCTGAAACTGAAGGGATGGAAAAATATATTTTATGCAAATGGAAACCAAAAGAAACAGAGGTAGCTATACTTAGACAAAATAGACTTTAAGTAAAAAAAAACTGTTACGAGAAATAAAAGTCACTATGTAATGATAAAGGGGTCAATTCATCAAAAGGATATAACAATTTTAAATATATAGGCAGCCAATATCAGAGCCAAATATATAAAGCAAATATGAACAGACCTAAAGGAAGAGATAGCAAAACAATAATAGTAGGAGACTTCAGTGCCCCACTTTCTACAATGGATATATCATCCAGACAGAAAATCAATAAGGAAAAGGCAAACTGAAATATCACTATAGAGCAAAGGGACCAAGCAGACATATACAGAACACTCCATCCAAAAAAAGCAGAATACATTCTTCTAAAGGCCCCAAGGAACATTCTCCAGGATAGATCATGTGTGTGCTCACAAAACAAGACCTACCAATTTAAGCTTGAAATATATCACATTGATCTTTCCCAACCATAATACTATGTAACTAGAAAACAGTAACATGAGGTAAATAGTAAATTCACTAATATGTGGAATTAAACAAAACACTCCTGAACAGCTAATAATTCACAGAGGAAATCAAAAGAGAAACCAAAAACATATCTTGTGACAAACTAAAATGGAAATACAACATACCAAGACTTACAGAATCAGCAAAAGAAGTTCTAAGAGGGATGTTAATAGTGATAAACTTCTACATTAAGAAAAAGAAAGGTCTCAAATAAACAACCTAACTTGACACTTTGAAAAACTAGAAAGTCTCAGCCCTAAGTCAGCAAAAAGAAGGGAATAATGAGGATCAGAGTTAAGTACTGTACTGGGTACTTAAAATATGCTAAGAAGATAGATCTTATGTAAGTGTTATTACCCCCCCACACACACACAAAGAGAAAATAATGATAAAGAAGGCAGGAGGATTTGGGAGATGATGGACACGTCTATGGTCTGGTGGTGGTGATGGTTTCAAGGATGTATACTTATTCCCAAACTCGCTCAGTTATATACATTAAATATATACGGGTTTTTACATGTCAGCCATACCTTAATAAAGTGGAATGAATGAATTAATGAGACCATAAAAGTACTAAAAGAAAATATAGGAATATTTTCTTTTTAGATCTCAGAGTGACCATAAGCAAAAGATTGGTAATTTGATAATTTTGAGCATATGAACATTATTAATTTTGTATGACTAAACCATGGTAAAGTTGAAGGACCAATGGTGTGGAGAAAATAGCTGCAACAAGAACAACAAACGGTTGGGTTCATTTCTGTAATGACTGTCAACTGCTCTTCATTGCCGTGAAATGATCAGTGACACGGACCACATGTAACTGGAGTGTTTTAAGATTTACCCATTGCTGGCATACCACAGAAATAAGCAGATGCTATAAATGAAGGCTTTCTTTGTTCCAGAGATCTGGTTGTTAAATATTTACCATCACACCACCTGGTCCACCCCAAATATCTTCAAATCCAGGAGACTGTCACACTTTGTAAGGGTTTATTTTCAACTGGGTTGGAATCAAAATGATGGCAGGGTGTCCAATAAGAGACACAGCTCTGTGCACTTTGAAAAAGGTCCCAAGCAAATCTGATCCTGCACGCATGGAATCCACCAACCTCACCTCAGAACCCTAAGAATCCTATTCCATGGGTCCCTGTATTGGCAGAAGGTCTGAAAACTTTGTCTTTCAACTTCCCTCAAACCATAGAACAAAAATGAGTAACTTTGTTGGAAGACAACATGGTTCTTGACTGGCTTCAGCAAGAAGCATGAGGCATCAGCTCACCTGTACTTCCATTTTCTCCTTCAGGGCCTGGAGCGCCTGAGGCTGCCTGAGTTGCTCCTCAGATTCCTCATCCTGCAGTGACCCGAGGTTGGACTCTCTCACACTGTGGGACTGCAGCACCTGCAGTTTCTGAAAAGGCCAGGGTGTAGTTTTATTTAAATGAAGATCGAATCTTGATGTTGTCTTGAGCAATGTCAGGAGGGCAAAGCTTAGCCCACCTACAACCAACCCCCAGCCTGTCCTCCTTAGGTATGTGCACACCTGCAGATACTCACAAGCCTGCATGTCCCTCCACTTGGGTTCTCCTGAGCGCTCAGCCCTTGTGCAGGAGAAGCCAGTTCCCATGTGATAACAGAATTCAAGGGTATAACTTCAATTGCATGGAATTCTGCTGTCCTCGAAACCCAGAGCTCACCTGACAGCTGCCCCATTTCTTCCTCAGGCTCAAAATGGGTGAAGAGAATCAGGCTGTCAGAGTGTTTGGGAGGGTCCCAGGCACCCCAGACCATTCCAAGGACTCCTTCCCCTCCTCCCACAAAAAAGTCCTAGCTGTCACCAAGAGGGCCTGGCTTTGCACAGCTTGGAGTCAGGACACCTATGCCAAATGATTCCTGGGCTAGCCGTGCGTGACCTGAAGGGAAAGGCACAGAAAGTGGGTCAAAGAGAAGATGCCTTGCCACCCGCCTATGGTTATATTTTCAAATACATCCCTACCGCATGTAGTAACAAAAGCAAATATATCCATTTCTATAAGATACTAAACTCATAAGCCCTATTAAAGCTTTAAAGAACTCCATGTCCCTAAATTAACTTGGTGTCATTCTTGCTAATCTTTAATTCTTCTCCAGTAGTGCTAAAGCAATACTGGGCCCAAATGTTAACCATTTTTAAACCCCTTGAATATTTTCATAGAGTCAAATGCTCAGATGTATGCACAACTCTCAGCTTCTGATAAGCCTGTCACTTCAGTCTTCACACTACTGCTCAGGACACACCAGAGGACTGGCTTTCTTGGCACTACAAACCTTCACGGTATTTTCCCTTCAACTAGGCAGTCCTTTGAAAGCTGGATTTGCCCTGTATCCAATCGAAAGTTCTTCCTTCAGTCAGGTAACTGAGTCAAAGGAAGCTCTCAGTACCATGGGGAAAGTTTTTAGGAGAAATAGTTTCAAAATGTATGGAGCTCTCATTGTCCCCCACTGACATGAAGGGGAACCTTTTCTTGTGTTTTGAAATGTACTAGCTTACAGTGTTATTCACAGCACTGTAAACGGAATCTTACGTTTTCCCCTCAGGATTTAAAAAAATTTAACAAAATAATTATCCAACTGTAGTGAGAATTTCTTACCCAGTTTGGTTCCTATGCTTTAATATAAGTAAAATAATGAAGTGTCAGGTGAGAGGAGATGGGGGAGACACACAAAAACACAACGTAAGCAATCCTCTAGGGGGAAAGACAACAATAGTAATAGTACATGAGATGCTCCAGTTGTGATCCGAGTTAAAAGGAAGCCATGGATGATAAGAATTATGTCCTCTACTGAAACTCAGAATCTCCGAAGCAAAAGTAACCCTGGTTTCTGAACAACTCCAAATTTGAATTAATACCATTTATCCAATGTCTAGTCAGCTAGCACTGTGTGGGAGTCAGGAAAGGCTTAGATGAGCTCAGGAATGATGGGTATGGAGCTGGAGTCTGACGTCCGTATGGTGGAGCTGCATCCTGCCATCCACAAGGCATCCTTTTCCATGTTAGGGGAACATGTAGGATGGGACGGCTTGGGTCACTAGAGATCACACACACGCGCACATGCACCTCATTTCAACCCCACCACCTTCCCTCCTTGGCTTTCCACCTCAGACTAAGACGGCGGTTCACCCAGACTCCAAGCATATCCTAGGACAATCCCCATCTGGAACAGTTGTCTAGGTGTTTCTTTGGGCAGAACATGGAATGATTGTGAGAAACACCATTAGTTCATTTTCAAAAACAAGAAAAGATTCTCCTTGACTTGAGGAAGACCACTAAAAGCTGAATACATTCAGAAAATATTTCTCCTCAAAACTTTTTCCCTAATACAGTTTTAGTCATACAGGATTATACGCCTGAATAAACTTGGTAATATACCCAGAAGAGCAGGGGCTTTCAAGTTGCAATGACTGGGTCCAAATCCCAGTTCGTAATATTTGTGTGACTGTGGGCAACTTATATGGCCTCAGTGTCTTCACCAGTAAAGGAGGAATGATGTGAGCTTAAGAAAAAAGAAACTTTAAAAAATAAATTAGTGAACTAATGATGTACCTGCTTTGAGAATGTTTGGTTGTTTGGTTGTTGTGGGGATTAAAAGTTAGTATATACAAAGCACACTGCATAGGGGCTGGAAAACAGTAAATACAAACAGTAAAAGTTAGTTCTTACTTGTGGCTGGCACAAAGCCTGTGCCCAGCGAATGTTTCTTGGGAGAAAAACGCATTCACTTAAAGTTTGCCTCATTTATTGTCCAGTGATGAAAGCCCTTCGTAAACTAAGGGTGATATCTAGGGAGTTCTTATTATGTAACAGAGGATATTAAGTGTTGTCTATGTGCTAATTTAACCATTTGGCAACCTCTGTTACAAGAAAGAAATGGAAGCACAGAAAGGTTACACAGTCTGTATGTGAAAGTACAGGGATGCGATCCCAGGCATGGCCTTGGGTATCTGGCTTCACAGTGTATTAGGCCCAAATGGCAGATGAAATAAAACTAGTACAAACTAAAAAATGAATTTTGAGAACAAATAAGATTTTCAACAAAACAACTTTGAAAAGCCTTTTAAATCAGGTACCTCTTCTAACATGTAAGTTTCGTTGGCAACACTTTTAAGTTCATCCCACAGGAATTTTTTTTGTTTGTCTGTTTCCCCATATAGATTGACCAGCTCTTTTTCTTTCCATTCATCAAACAGCTTCTCAGCTTGTATTTCTCTCTGACGAGTGCTCTCTGCTTCCTACAAAGTAAAGCAAGAATAATAGAATCATTAATTCCATATTATGGCAAATATGTACTGAAAACGGCCAGGGACCGTTCCCCATGCAAGTCAGTATGGAGACCTAAAGAGCATTTGTCCCATTGTTTGCACTTGGAGTGGGACAAATATTATCTGAACTTAAAGTCCCATGAGGATCATGTCTTTTCTCTTTATATTTCTCACAGTGGCTGACACAGTTGGTGTGCAATACATGCATCTTGAGGGAATGAATCATGAATGAATAACTCAAAGAATGAGTGAGGATATTTATGTATCTTCATTCTACAAATAGGTGCTGAGTACCTCCTTAGGGCGGATTCTGGAGCTTTACCCAGTCTTTGTCCTCAAAAAGCTAATTACCAGCATCATGAAAGAAGTTACAATTCAGGTGCAGACCCCCTCAGAGGGGGTGAAGAACACAGGAACGGCACTGCTCTGCTCTGCTTTTGGCCATACGGGTCTGGCCAACACTGGACTTTTCCTTTCTGACTGCCTAAAATCATTTGCCCCTTCCAGGAAGCCGCTGTCCGAGCTCCGACCCCGGGCCCTGGAAGCCAGCGGGAACCCCGGCCCGGTGGGATGCACGTGCTTCACGGGCCGTGGGCTTGGTCCCGGACGGAGTCTCCCTGACTGTGCTTCTCCTGCCCACCTGGAGCTGCCGCTGCCTCTCAGCGTCCCTCCGGGCCTCCAGCTCCCCTTGGGTCCACTTCAGCTTGGCCCGCAGCTCTTCTAACTCCTTCTCCACTGGCTGTTTTTCCTCATTTTTCTGTTTTTCTGCCGTATCTATGCAAAGAGAGGGTGACCGCTTTAACAAAGTCAATCAAGTGTAGCTCCGCACCAAGGCAGTCACACCTCAATCTGGGAGCAGCTTCACCACTTACACTGTACACTGACCTTGGGCAAGCGACGTAACCTCCCTGACCCTCAGTTTCCCCGCCCTGGAAAATGGAGATAATAATAGCACCTAACTCAGAGGGTTGTTCTGAGGCTGAAATGTGATCATGCAAAGCGCTAGCACAGTGCCTGGCATGACAGCTCAATAAATGTGAACTATCATTATCATCTAAAGACCTGTTTTGACAGTACTGACACATGGAAACGTGAATGCAAAATTAGTAGGCTAACACAAGCAGAACACCCAATAGCAGGCACGCACTGACTGCTAATACAACGGCCTTATCTATGTATCCCAACAGCAATCAGAAAGGAATTTAAAGTAATGGAAATCACTGTAGTTCACTTTTACAATGTTAGTACGGTTTAAATGTGTGGTTTTAAATTTCAATGCCAAAAGGCACCAGGCATGATGAAGAAACCTTTTAGCTAAGGTTGCTTTAAGTGTATACTTTAAATATTTTAAGACTGAAGAAGAAAGAATTATAAAAGAACATTCCAACTAAACCACATACTAATAAACCAAGAATTACGGGTTAATGAAAAAAATCAAAGATTGCACAATTGTACTTGAACATTTGTCACTTTTTAAAGTACATGTAGTGATTACTAGATAGAGGGCATTGTTATTAAAACTCTAAGACTTTCTTTGAAAACAGACATGGCTTTTCTCAGATTGGACGTTTTTGAAACAAACAATTTTTACTTGCAGTAGAAATTAATTTGGGTTAATAAAGGGATTTGAGGTTAGTATGGAATAGGACAGCAGGTTTATTGGAGCCTGAGAATAGAAAAGTCATGAGCATTAATGTAGCGAAAGGTGCCTTAAGAACATATTTTCCTGTCCTTACAGTACTCAGATTAAGGAAATAGTAAGGAATATGCACAAAGATTTGTATACAGGAATGTTGATTATCATATGATTTATAATAGGTTACTATACATTTTTTAGTAAACCATATGACTTATGGAATAATTCAGCTGTGAAATAAATTATGATAGCTATATGGTGGGATACTATTCAGCCATTAAAAATCATGTTTTCAAAGATGATTTAATAACATTGGAAAACGTGATGTATTCTTAATTGAAAATCAACAATAGTCAAAACTCCACATTATACGGTTATACCTATATCTATACATACATACAGAAAAATAATGGCAGGAAATGAACCGAAATATTAACTGCAGGTGATAATGTCCATGATTTTTTATTTTCTCTTTTCTACCTTCCTGTACTTAAGTTTTATCAAAGGCCTACTTTTTTTTTCCAATTTTTATATTGTGGTAAAAGACATAGAATATAAAATTTACGATCTGAGCCACTTTTAAATATACAGTTCAGTGGCATTAATACCTTGATAATGTTGTGCATCCATCACCACCATCCATCTCCATAACTCTCTGCATCTTATAAAACAGAAACTCCACCCATGAAACAAGGGCTCCCCATTTCCCCTATGCCCAGTCCCTGGGAACCACCATTCTACTTTCTGTGCCTATGAATTTGATTACTCTAGGTATCCCATGTAAGGGAACTCATATATTTGCCTTTTTGTGGCTGACTTATTTCACTTAGCATAATATCCTCAAAGTCCATCTATGTTGTAGCATATTGCAGAATTTCCTTTCTCTTTAAGGCTGAACAATATTCACTGGTATGGTTTTACTACATTTTATTTATCTATTCATCTGTCAGTGGACATTTGGGTTGCTTCCACATCTTAGCCACTTTGTATAACACTGCTATGAACATGAGTGTACAAACATCTCTTCAAAGACATGTGTTTTTATCAGAAAAAGTTATTTAAGAAATAGAAAATCCATTTTTCTTTAGTAACTCCAATTCAGAACCAAGAAGCAGTAGATATATAATAAATGCGTAGCAACTAGGCAAATACATGGTAGTATCTTAAAACTCTGTCCTTAAGAAAAGTTTTATTGAATGAGGCTATCATATTTATATTTTCATATCTATATTTATTTTAATGTTATAAGAGCTATTTTTTACTGTTCAGTAAAATTTTTACCTCAAAGTCTGGATACAAAGCATGTAAATCTCTTTATGGGAAAACACACAGCAGTGCTGCTCATTTTGGAAACTGAAATGTTAAAATTAAAGTGACTAAGTCATACTACACTTACATACATAAAAATAATCAAAGAACTGGTCTGACTGCTCATTAACCCCATTTAAGTTCATTCCTAGTTAGCATAAGAGAATTAGCAGATTTACAAAAGGCTGGAGGGTAAGAGCTTTTCACAGTCGCTCCATCTGACTGCCCCATTCACAGTGAAGGCCGCTGAGGCCCAGTGGGGAAGGCACCCATCGTGGTCAGATAATAGAAAAGGACAAAGCTACAACTCGGACCTACCTATGTGGCTCACAGCCTTTTGTCTCTACACACATGGTCAGAAACCCTCCCAGCCCTGTGGAGGGTTGGATCACCTCATCCTCAACTGGATGATGAGGTTCTGAACGAAGCTTTCGTGGTATATATGCCTCCCACCCACTGAGTGCCAGGCCAGGCCCTTCCCCCGTCCCAGGAGGGCCACCGGGACTCACCGCCTTCTGCCGTGCCCGCATGCCTGCGCTGGATGTGGCCCTGGAGATAGGCGGCATTCGTGAATGTCTTGTCACACAGGTGGCACTGTGCAGAAGGGAAGCAGTAGAGAAGGGCAGCATTAGGTCACTGGAGTCGGCTGGAGATTCTTCCTATATAAAAATTCCAGTTTCTCTGGGACCCCTGGGCTTCTTTAGAAATGGAGTTTGATTTCCTTAGTAAGGCAGTGATATCAACCTAAAATGTATATTCTGAGCTTTAAAACACAACCAGGTCCCTGAGTAACTGTGAACACTGACAAGTCATTTGATGATTCCAAGGAATTTTTGTTAGTTTTTCAGAGTATGATTATGGTATTATGCTTATGTTGAAAGGTGACAGTCCTTGCTTTTAGAGATACATACTGAAATATTTTCAAATAAAATCACATTGCTGATGCACTTTAAATAATTCAAATGTGGAGAAAGTGAGTAGGGGAACAAACGCTACAACACGAACCCAGCCAAACAACAGGAGACAAGGAGAAATGCTGGCTGGGCTGCTGAGACCGGAGGAGGCCCACCATCATGCCGGCCTTGAGTCTGGAAGAATGAGATGTGTGCATTGCAGTGGCCCAATCTGCTATCAGACGGACAGGACTTTTTTGAGAGTGGAACCCACACTAAGGAACAATCACCAAGAGCTTCAGGGAGAGAAACTAGATTCTGGTGCCATCATTGGTTCCTGGGGCAAGCCATACCTGAGTCCCACAATAACCTTGGATTTTCCCATTAAAATAACCAACAAATTCCTTATTGGCTTAAACCAGGTTAGATTGCTATTTTGTCGTTTTACTACTGAAAGGGTTCTGACCCTTTTTATCATAATTAACATTATATCAATTACCATTCAATCTATTGACATTGTATCATATGATTCATTCTGTCCCACCCACTCCCAAATTGAATTTCCTGAAAACCCGAACCAGCACGACTTGCTCCTACATGGAACAAGTAGGAACATGGATGGTTCCTGGCACAGATCCTGGCCACCATGACAATTTATTAAAGGGTAAGTGTCCCCAGTCCACATTTTCCATGGGGAGAGATGCAAATGCTCAAATGCCACCCTGAGTTATGAACTGTAACTTGGTTGAATGAAGTTACTTTTCCAGAATGGGCCTGGTTCTTCCAGTACCTTGCTACACACTGATTAAACACACACATACACATACACACCTTTACACATCACACTCTACTTACACACAAACTCTTCATACATACACACACCCTCCATAAATACACACATCATACACCCTCATTCATTGACACACACACCATAAATATATTTTTATATGCACACAAGCACAAGTTACACATCACACACCCCTACCATGCACAGATGTAAATTCCAAACATGCAAATATACACATTAGTCAAACATATTCACACCATTCATAAACACATGCCCTCCATACGTTCACACATGCACACACTGGTCAGGCACTCTCTACATAAACATGTGCACATGCAGCATTCATACACACCCACCACATAGTGCAGTCTCCCTACATACATATGCACACACATTCTAGAACCCGATGAGACACCCTCAGGCCCTCTGGTCTTGAGCAGCATCTCTAAAATCTGTTCCAAACCCCAGTGAGAATGACCCACAGTGGCCTTGGGGCCCAGGGTGGATGTGCTGCTGCCTAGGAGGCCTGGTGGCCAAGCTCAGGGCTCTCCCCTCTCCTCACCCTGCAGAGATTCCTCACCGGGTGGTAGCTGTAGGCGCCTGTCTGCAGCAGCAGTTGCTGCAAGGTGCCAATCAACTTGCGACGCTGGTGGCTCTCCTGCCGCACTCCCTTGAGCTCATCAGCCTGGCGGGCCAGCTCCTGCTGGCCACGATCCTGCTGCTCCAGGCTGGCCTGCAACCGTGCCTCCAGGTGGATCACACTGGCACTCAGGCAGTCCTGGCAGTGCAGCAGGTACTCGATGATGAGCTGTGTCAAGCGCAGAACCTTGAGCAGTGCAGGGTCCACAGGCTGCCCACAGCGGATGCACACCTCCCGGTCCAAGTTGCAGAAAGTGACACCATTGAGGAGCTCCTGCAGGATGGCCACGTCCACCTCCCGTGCCACACGGTCCACATCCAGGGCGCTAATGCGCCTCCAGTCTATGCTTTCACAGTGAGACTGGAACTTAAAGGTAGGGAAGGTAAAAGTCCCAAAGACAGAGCCACTGAGGCCCTCGGCAGTGGTCGTGAGGGACTGCATGGGCAGGGGAAGCCCTGGGCTGACCACCATGGGTGGGTGCCCCCAAGGCCACGGCAGCAGGCAAAGGAGCTGAGAGAGGGCCTGGAAAATGAGAAGAGAGTCCAAGTTAGGCAAGATGCATGTGGCTGGTCAGCAAGAGACTAAGTGGGTGAAGTGAGGCATCTGTGCCACAGCCTGCTATGCGTGGAAGGTGCTGACATGGCCACAGCTGTGGGCTTCCCTGTCACACACATGTGGATTCCCATCCTCAGCCTTGGGCAAGCCCCTTCCCAGTTCTAAGCCTCCTGGGTATAATTGGGATCATGGGGCCCACTTTGCAGGCTTATGGTTAAGAATGAGGCAGGTGAAGTACCCAGTTAGTGCCTGGCACATAGTAGGTCCTCAGTCTACTATAAGAATGCCTGCAAGAGGTCTTTGTTGGGGGGAGCTGTCAAACGTATGCATGGGCCTTTCTATAACCCCGCATTATCTCAGAACAAAGTCCGTAACTTGTCATGGGAGGCAGAGCCACCTAATGTCCATCGCACCTCACCCTCTCTGCCTATAATTACAAAATTATAGTGGAACAGGGGTGGGCTATGCTTTCCAGTTTCCCTGGCTATCACGCATGATCCTACGATTATGTTCTCTGTAGTGGGAAGTGGGTGAAATGATGTCCACCACTGCCAAGGCCTGCTTAAGAGAGCGGCCGTGTCTCTGTGCACAGATAGTGCTCAGCCAATCAAGGTCTCTTCTTCAAACCTAATGGCTTAGAAAAGAGCTTCAGTTTGTCATCAAAAGACTCAGATTCTACTCTCTACTCTCTTAGTGGACATAAAAACTATTTTCTCTCTTTGGAGAGTGATTTGACAATAGCAGCAAGAATGTAAAATGAAATATTCCACTACCAAGAATTACAATTTACCCTTCAGATAAACTCATGCAAATGTGTAAAGGTGTTTGTGCAAAAATTATCATTGTAACAGTGTTTGTAACAGCAGAGTACAAGAAAAAGTACAAGAAAGCAAAATATAAACCACAATAGGGGATACAAATGGTATCTCTATACAATGAAATACTACACAGCTATTGATAAAAATAAGGCAGCTTTTCATGTACTGATACATGAATAGGTATGATATATATAGATATATACTTCTATTTCTATTTAAATGGTATATTAATATCACATTTAACAATAATTTGCAAAAATGAAGGATATATGTGTATCTCACATATAGATCTGTATCTTTTGATTAATAGGTAGGTAGCTAGATAGACACCTCACCTAACATTAGGATGGTTGCCAATGAGAGAGGAGGGAAATGGGAATGTGAAATAAGGATAAATGAATGAATAGATGGATGGTGTATGGGTAGGAAATGAATAAACAGATAAATGGGCAGGCCTTACACAGATGAGTGATGATAATGGTACATGTATAAAAATATACAGCTACATACACATACATGATTGATTCATATTTGTTATATACATATAATCATAATTAAATCAAATGCACTAATTTATGGTTCCTAATATATGATTCATTATATTATTTCATAAGAATAGATTATTGCTAGAAAAATAAACCAGCTGTTAGCAATGGTTGCCTCTGGGAGCAGGAATGGAGATCACAGGACTCTAACTTTTCACTTTCTATCTCTCTATACTATTCAAAGTTCTTTGCATTACTGTCTTGCCAATGGGTTTTAGCCCCAGACAAGTTCACTATGGATTCAATGTGACCAAAGAAATTGACAGCAAAACGTTCTTGGGGTGAAAGGGTTACACCCAACTTTATTTCCAGGTGGCAGGTCAGTCACTAAAATCCCATTCACTCAGAGCGAGTCTGCATGCAGCAAGCCACTGTCTACCTCTGGGACCCCTGTCTGCAGAGCTGTCCTCTGGGCCCCTCTGACTACACAGCTGTCCTCTGGGCTCCCCTGTCTGCAGAGTTGTCCTCTGTGCCCCTCTGCCTACACAGCCATCCTCTGGGCCCCTCTGTCTGCAGAGATATCCTCTGGGCCCCTCTGCCTGCACAGCGGTCCCACAGCTGTCCTCTGGGCTTGTCTGCACAGTCATCCTGCACAGCCGTCCTCTGGGATTCTGTCCTTGGTGCTGCCTCTACTCCAGCCTCTGCTCTGCTCCCCTGGAGCCTTGTAGCCCTGCCACTATGTTGCACCCAGAGTACTGGGTGGAGCTCCTTATATAGAGTCAACAGCCATGTATTACCCACAGGTGTGTAGTGAGCTAGTCCACCAGGGCCAGGTGAGAATTCTGGCCACAGGAACTCTCATTTTATCCACAATCATCCTCTATTACTTCTATAACTTTTTGAAGAAAATAATACAATTTATGCCCTTGAGGAACACAGTCTGACTGAGAAAACAAGAAATAGACATGACCCTGCTTAATCAAAGTCTTTCTAGATTACTGACTCAAACACTTCAGTCCAAAAGAAAGAGAAAAGAAAGGTCATTTCCCTCATGAAGGAGAAAGGCTCTGAAAAAAACGGTGGGACTGGGATTGCAAAGAGGAGAAGGAGCCCTGGACAGGCCCTGGCCTCCCTGAGCTTGTCTGTCACTGTGAGAGGCAGTGGCAGGGTGGAGAGCCTGCCTTAGCCTCCCCCAAGGGGTGCTCTGAGGACAGGAGGAGGGGCGAGGGGAAGGCCCTCAGGAGTAAACAGCACAGGTGCAGGCGGGCCGGCCTCTGTGACAGACAGGAACTACAGGGACTACTATTCCCACTTCACAAACAAGGAAACTGGTGTCTTACACTAGATGGGGAAGCCAGAGCTGCATCTGACTCTAGAGCCTGCAGATGTTGAACAGCTCGAGCCTGTTTGTCTTAAACTTTGCTTTGATCAGATCATCAGTTCTTATTCCTCAAACACATTCATCACTCACTCCCCTCTCATTCACAGTGTGCCCACTTGGCCAGGCCCAGCACCAGGCCCTAGACTCCCCAGGTATATTAACCTCACTCCTGCACCCCACATGGGAGCTCAGAGTGGCTTCTTGTGGCCACGGTACTGAGTCCAAACTCTTTAGCCTGGTCTGGAAGATCCTCCACAGGAACCCTGGCCT